CACTTTCAAATTTTTTTCTTCAGTTTCAGTTTCCATTTTTTCAAGAAACCTTATGGCCCCAATTTATCACCGTATATGTCTGACTGTTTATCATTTATTAAACACATCTTATCTCTGCTCACAGAACCACAGTTGATTAGCAGGAGGAGATCATCTTCTAGCAGCTTGTATTTTATGAACATCCATGATTTTTAAATGAGCTTTTCAGAGGAACTAAACTTTATAAAATGCAGAGTCAACGCTGCTGCTGACTCCACTCTGGAACTGGTAATGACTGCCATTTTGTTCAGACCTTGTAAACTATCAAGACTCTTTTCACTGAACACAAATGAGGTTTTTCATTAAAACTAGACGTTTTCTTCATATTTTAATCTCAGCTCAGTTTAGTCTAGGCTTAGAATGCTTTTTTCTGATGTTCTAAGCTAAAGTCGTAGCTTCTAGTTCTTTAGCTGCACAACTTCAGCTGCAGCATGCAACTAAACACGAAAGGAAATGTTTATTTAAGAGTGATTTGTATTGCCTGACACCAGCGGAACATAATCTACACAGTGGAGTGTAGTTTTATCAGCCCAGGGAGACGGAGTGATAGGCATTATGTAAAGGAGTTCATTTTAATCAGTTTTCTGAATGAAGTCACCTTGGAGCAAGTTCACAGTTGTTAACTCGGTGTTATCTTACTTTGTCCAAATCACTGAAAGACTCTACTCTTAAAAAATCTGCAGGGTATGTCTCCTTGAAGTTTTGTGTGCATAAAAGTTTGGAGCACAAAACTGTTTGACATAATTATAAACCGTAAAAAAGATTAACATAATAAAACAGACTTCGCTATAGAGAGAACCAAGTTGCTTTAGGGTTTTGTTTTGTTTTGTTTTGTTTTGCTTTACATCTGTCTCTCTTTTTCTTTCTTTACAGAAATATGTTCCCATCAAATCTGGTCCAGGCCACTTTTCAGCAGGTAAGATATGACAGAGAGTTCTTTAAAGGTACAGGACAGGTACAAATGTTCCTCTGTCAATTGTAGTTTTGTTTTTTTTAGTTTAAATAAATACATTAACAATAACCAACTAATGGAAAGAAAACTTCATAAGTATATGAGAAACTGGTAAAGTCAGTCTGAACATAATAACAGAAGAGGTGAAATACAATAAATCAACCTGGTAAAACCAGGGGTTTGAAGATTTTAGGACATTTCCAAGTTGAAAACATAAAACCATAGAAATTAACTGGAGTTTATCAGAATTAATAGAAATATATGGGATTAAAAGGGACTAAAACTGGAATATGAAACACTAATGGGTGACTTATAACAGGGATTTTAAATACTGATGGGGATAAAACAGCAAATTCTTGGCTAAAACAACCAGGTTGCATCCAGTCATACATGCCTGTCTCTAAAGGTCAAAAGGCAAGAGGCACATCATCAGTCCATTACAGTAACAGCATATGAAAATGTGTCCAGGCTGTCCATAGCTTTACCTAGCACCATTTAAGTAGTGAGGTCAAGGGTTGAAAAATATTTTATTCAATATTTATGTTTTTGTTATTTAATGAAGGATTTCATCACTAACTAATATTTCCTTACTTGCTTAATTTGTTTTAGTGTTCTGTTTTAGTAATCCTTTGCTAACTTAAGTATTGCATACATTATAGAAATACATTTATGTCTATTAGTTAGCAAATCTGGCAAAACTGGGTGTAACTTTAACTTCTACATGGCATCAAAGGGCTTCAAAAATAATCTTTAATATGTGCTGAATATGGATTATTGAATTTGCCAGCCTTCATAGGATGCACCTTACATGGTGGTTTGAAGTAAGTCTGCTAAAATTCTAAAGAAGGGGTTAAACTAAAGCTCTGCTGACAACCTCTGATGAAAAGCAATGTTTTTAATTCAGCTGTTTGTCAAAATATCACCTTAATTTCCATTTCATTCCAGTTGGAATGCTTCAGAGAATTACCCAGAAATCAATTTGTATGTTCTGGTTCCAAAAAATCTTAACACAATTTCTTCAACCTCATGAAAAGTGTCACCGTCTCCCCTGACAACAGTACCAAACACGGAGCCAGCTCATCGTGAAGCCGAAGCCAACGGTGAGTCAGGCCCAGTCAGAGTCCACCACGCGGCGACCGCTCATCTACGGCATCCAGGACGATAACGGCAGTGATATCCAGAACTTTGCTCTTGACCTCACCCCTCCTCCGGACGTGCTGGTGCGCACTCGTGAAGGAACAAGTGACGGAATGAACGTCCTCGGGATTGTTATCTTCTCGGCCACCATGGGTACGTGTTCCAACTGTGTTTGAAATTTGGAACCATTTCAGAATGATATGCTTTTGACAACTCGTTGTTTTGACAGGCATCATGTTAGGAAGAATGGGCCCCAATGGAAGCGCCTTGGTCAACTTCTGCCAAAGTCTCAATGAAGCGGTTCTTAGAATTGTGGCCATTGTCATATGGTGAGGACCTTTAATGATACTTAAAGGTACCATTAAGTACCTTTAAGTACTTAGTGGTACATTATACTTATATGTACTTATACATAGAAGCATAAGTTCTGTTGAAGCTTGTTACATATTGTTATAACAAGCTACATATTGTTGAAGCTTGTTATATTTGTTGAAACTGTCGCTATGTTGTGACAGTTTATTACGAGACAGATAATCTGTGAAAATATTGAGCTTCTTTGCCTTCTCCCAGTGCTCCCAGTTCTTACTAGAAACAACCAATCAGAGCTAGGAGGCAGGCCTTAGCGCTGCTGGTCATCAAAGCGTTCCACGAATGCTAAGACTAGCTAGCATGACCACCAATGACGGCAGATAAACGGTTTTCCTGTAATGGTAAGTTGTTTCTCCGCCATTAGCATATTTAGCAGCACATTCACTAGAGCTTTTGACAGCACTAAAACGCTCCCCCTGGCTCTGATTGATTGTTTTTCGTCTGAAACAGTGCATTTTCATAGATTATCTGTCTGTCACAACAAGGTGACAGTTTTAAAGTATATGTGAAAAAAAAAACATTTTCAGTGATTCTTGAGAATAGGGACAAAATGGGTCATACGGATAAAGCACAAAATTTTAATAAAATATACACAAAATATATATTTTTTTAAATATCTGACTAAACTAACCTGGGTCATGTGAGCACAACAATGTATATTTTTCTGGTTTTGCAGAATTTTTTTTAAATTATTATTATTATTATTATTTTAAACATTGTAGTAAGTGGATGGTGTCTTTAAAATCCCTTGTCCAGGAGCGGAACTCAATACATTATAATAGTTTAAAACAATTAAAGGATGATATATTATGAAGTGTAAGTATTCATATAAATAATTACAAAAGTATCAATACATTGAATTAAAAATCATTTTTATATATTTTCCAACTCCATTGAAAATGGAGTTGGGGGGCATCATATCTCAATGTTCAGAACTTCTGAGGACCCCATGACCACTTCCTTTCTCTTCCTTTGCAGCTCTGGTTAGCTTATGTTATTCTTTAGTTAGGGCCTGCCCATAGCAATGCATAGGGAGAGCAGTGACTGACTTGCTTGTCAGTGAAGCAAGTCACTGACTCCATGCATTGCATGGCAGTCACCAGTGAGTCGGGAGAAAGCAGTGAGACGAGAATCAACAGCAAGTTGAGAACCAGCAGCGACTTGGGAGCCACCAGACAGTGGGGGAGCCACCAGACAGTGGGGAGCCACCAGACAGTGGGGAGCCACC